CTTTGCGGAAGGAGTGAAGAGAACTTGGTAGAAGGGATATTGGGGGCTTTAATCAGAAATAAGAAGTGGTTTAAATCATTAGCACAACAAAGCATACTATAAGCTTGAAGATAAAAGTCTCTGGGGAAAGAGTCCTCTGAAAATAAATGGAACTTGATAGATTTCCATATCATTTATAACTTCCCTTAATTACACTTGGAAGACTTGCCAGTAAAACTGGAAAATTGGCAGCCTATATCCATTAGAGTCATTGTGCCGACCATGGCAAGCAGCTGGCTTTACGGGATTTGATTCCCATCACTCACAATTCATCATCAGCTGGAGGTGTCTGCAGCTCTTCAGCACAGAGCAACGCTGGGTGACACTCTGGCCCCCGCAACATGCAAAAATCTGCTGAGTAAATGGGCCAAGGTTTCTCTCAAGCCTCTTTTGGGGCAACGCCGACTCCGGCTTAATGAGTGCTGCTCTGATAATCGGATGCGAATGTGAACCTTGACCCCGTGTCAAAGGAGAGGACGCAATAAGCTGGATGAAAGATACAGGATTCAGACCTCCAAACTTTACACCAATTAGACAGTGAGCGGGGAAATACATCAGGCCCACTTGGTTCATCAAAAAGACTTTCGAGGCTTGTGACCACTTTGTAAGCCCAACACTGGAGACATCCTGTCACAGTCATTAAGTCTTCATCAGATGATTCACAAAAGTGTTGGAGAAACGTGCGCACACATCCTGCAGGAACGGCCTGCACATGGGGGTGTCTGATGGAGACGGAATGGCGGAGGCCCCTCTCAGTGCACCCAATTAATGCCTGGCTTCCCCAGTGCCCCAGGGGAATCAGGAGGGTGTTGCCTCCACTGGGCCCACTGCCCAGCTCCCTCGTGGAGCCTAGGGTGTGCAGTGCATTCTGCAATAGCCAGCGCTGCTGGTAGCAAGGCTCAGAAGTCCTAAGGTGAGAGCCCCTGCTCCCAGTGGCCGAGTGGCGGCATGTTGTTATTGTTGGAAGGAGCCCAGCTCCGTGTCTGCCCATCCCTGGAGCACACCTTCCAGTGCAGCCTCTTCCAACAGACTGGGGCGGACGTAGTTTGTTTCCATTGCATTCTTTGATGTTTGGTTTATATCAAATTTGGTTCTCCAGCTCGATTTTTTCCAAAGGATGAAACAAGTTGAAATTCAATTAAGTTCACGAGAGAGAGAGAGAGAGAGAGAGAGAGAGTGTGTGTGTGTGTGTGTGTGTGTGTGTGTGTTGGGGGCGGTAGAACATGATTCTGTTGAACCAGCTGTCTCTCACTGTTTTGTAGGTCATCAAGGAAGTTTTTAAGCACCATCTCTTTGGGATAAATTAGTGAAAATGGTCTACAAAACAGATTGTGTAAAGTTAATAGAGAAGTGGGTTACTTAGGTTTTCATTTCTTGCTGGGTGCAGTGGCTCACACCTGTAACCCCGCACGTTGGGAGGCCAGGGTTGGTGGATCACTTGAGGTCAGGAGTTTGAGCCCAGCCTGGCCAATATGGTGAAACCCTGTATGTACTAAAAATATAAAAATTAGCTGGACGTGGTGGTGCATGCCTATAATTCCAGCTACCCAGGAGGCTGAGGCAGGAGAATAGCTTGAACCTGGGAGGTGGAGGTCGCAGTGAGCTGAGATCGAGCCATTGCACTCCAGCCTGGGCAACAGAGTGAGACTCTGTCTCTAATAAATAGATAGATAGATAGATAGATAGATAGATAGATAGATAGATAGAGCTAAATACTCTAAATAGACTTTGGACACCATGAGAGGAACTAGGGAGGGGAAACAGGAGTGAGAGGAGGATCTAATTCTATGATTCAGGGCTGTGCTGTGGGTTGGAGAGAAGGTGGGATCACTTCAGTAGAGACACACTTTCTTTAAAGTTCTTTTAATGGAATTGCTGGACTCTCACAATCAGAGGGAAGGACTGCTTTAATTTCAGGCTTCCCCACTTTTCCTGACTGTAGCAGGCTAAGTCTGAGGTTCTGTTCTGTGAGCGATCAGGGACCCAGCACTTGCAGTCACCTGTGTGTCACCTCTTTGCAGATCACCCATGTTAGAAGCACAGAGCCAGCCACAAAGAGGGTCGGTGGCAGTGACAGCAGAGCCCATAAGCCCCTGTCCACCACCTGCCTGCTCCCAGGCCCTGGTGAGCCCAGCGTAGAACTGTAGCCGGCTCAGATTGGCCTTTGCACCCGGCGTGACATTGGGAAATCCCCAGGCCTCATTTCTGCTTCATATTTGCACTTTAGTTGCTAATGCGCCTACTTGAAGATCCTGTAAAACAGAAGCAGGAGCTGCCTGCCCGTCTGGCCCACAGATTCTGAGCGATGGGATGGGAGGGGACAAGTGGCAGAGGGGCACAGCTGCTGGCAGAGGGGGTAGGGGCTGTGCCACCCATGCGAAGCCGAGGTGCATGGTGGGGAGACAGGGCTCCGACCAGTCCTGGGCCCTCAGATGCCTGCAGAGGAAGGGCTGAGTGGGTGTGTGGGAGGCAGGCATGTATTCCCCAGAGAGCTCCTCCGTCTGGAGAGAGAATAGTGCCCAGAGCAGGAAGGTGGATTCCTAAATTTTTGGATGGCATTTCCATTATGTTCTTTTGAGTCTCAGATTCATTTCCCAGAGAGTCCCCGGTCCTGTTGCCTGAGTGCCCAGTCCTGGGTAACAGTGGGTCGCAGTGGGTCGCAGTGAGTCCAGCTTCAAAGAGGACACGGCTGGGCTTCCAGGATCCTCTGTGTACAGCTGGCTGGCAGGTGCAGACAGTGAACCAGGCCTGCTCCTGGCTTCCCTGGTCCCTGCCTGCCTTTTAAGAGAGAAAAAGGGCTCTAAAATGCCGGCTGGAGGGAGCGACTGTTCTTAGGCCCCTGACTGGGGCCTCTGCATTGTCTCTGCGCTGCCCCTCCCATCCCCCTGCAAATAGCACTTGAGGCCGATTCTTCATTCGCCCTGGAATGCAGATGCCAGGTGAAAATGAATCAAAAAGGGCAGCGCGGGCTGCGTTTCCAGGCCCAGCTCCTCAGCGCAGTGTCTCTCCTCTGTGCCAGCACCAAAGCCTTGGCATCCTCTCTTTTCCTATATTTCTGTGCCAGGAAAAAGCAGCCCACCACCTGAACAGCAGAGGAAAAGAGTACCTCGGGCTCGGGCGCTCCAGAGTGCCAGCAAGACAGCTTGTGCCACATGGGGGGCCTGGAGGGGAACTTAAGATCATCTGGGGATTTCAGGAAAGAACATTTTCTAGGCATTTCAGTGGCATTGGTCGAGCATGGCCACGGTGGTGTAACGGGCCAGGAGTCCCACGCCAGGACGCCCACCCACACCCACAGCCGTTGCCCTAGGAACCTGGACTTGCCCCTTTCAAAGACTGGGAGGCCCTTTTTCATAAAGGCAAGAGAAAAACCTGGCTGGCTCAGGATGCTGACCCATCGAGGCAGAGTGAAGTGAGTGTGTAGCATGGTTTTCAGCCGCAGTGAATTCCTACAGTGAAGCCTTGGGCTTAACTCCAGTGAGCTTCCACCCAGCTCAGCCTGGCTGCCCCTCAGAATGAAAGGCAAGCTCTGAACGCAGTCTGGGCAAGGGCCCCTGGGCACTCCCAGTTTCCTCCCGTGGAATGTGTGTAGCTCCCTGGAAGTCATTCCCAGTGGGAAAGGGCTTTTCAGAAGCTGCCTCGTTATGGGTACTCATTGTGTCGTGTAGAGGATGGGACAGTGGTCCTCGGGGCACCAGGGCTGAGCTGTTCCCAGCTCCCCGGGACTATAGACAGAAAGGTGTGCTTTTGGTGTTTTGTTTCGTTTTGTTTTGTTTTTGGTAACAGCTATACTGAGCTGTAATTCACATACAATTTAGCCCTTGAAAGTGTACAATTCAGTGGTTTAGTCAATTCAGAGTTGTGTAGCTATCACCACAATCAATTTTGGAACATTTTTATCACTCCCAAAAGAAACCCTGTACAAGGCCGGGTGTGGTGGCTCACGCCTGTAATCCCAACACTTTGGGAGGCCGAGGTAGGCAGATCATGAGGTCAGGAGTTCGAGACCAGCCTGACCAATATAGTGAAACCCCATCTCTACTCTTCTGTAAATACAAAAATTAGCTGGGTGTGGTGTCAGGCACCTGTAATCCCAGCTACTCAGTAGGCTGGGGAAAGAGAATCACTTGAACTTGGGAGGCGGAGGTTGCAGTGAGCCAAGATTGCGCCATTGTACTCCAGCCTGGACAACAGAGTGAGACTCTGTCTCAAAAAAAAAAAAAACAACCTGTATCCTGGCCGGGTACAGTGGCTCACGCCTGCAATTCCAACACTTTGGGAGGCCAAGGTGGGTGGATCACGAGGTCAAGAGTTCAAGACCCTCCTGGCCAACATGGTGAAACACTGACTCTACTAAAAATATAAAAATTAGCTGGGTGTGGTGGCACATGCCTGTAGTCCCAGCTACTCTGGGAGGCTGAGGCAGGAAAATTGCTTGAACCAGGGAGGCAGAGGTGGCAGTGAGCTGAGATCGAGCCACTGCACTCCAGCCTGGTGACAGACTGAGACTCCATCTCAAAAACAAAACAAAACAAAACAAAAAACCTGTATCCTTCAGTAGTCATTCCCCTTCCCCCTTCAACCCAGGCAACCTTGAGTCTGTCTGTAAAGATTTCTGGACGTTTCAGGTAAGTGGAAGACATCCCAATTTCCCAGCACCTCTGTCAGTGGCAGAGCCAGACCCAGAGATACCCAGGGTAGGCCCCCCAGGCAGCCGGGGTCCCCAGTTCTCCAGGGTCCACCAGTCAGGGAAAAAGTCCCTGACTTTTTTCCAACAAGGACTTAGAGAGAATGGCTTTTCTCTACTGTCCCTAAAGATGAGTTTGGAATAGGAAATATTAGAGATCTTTGCAGCTGTTTAGAGACACAAATTTTGGGGCATTTGAAAGGTAATTTTGTAATGGCTTCGTTCCTAAGCATTATTGCAAATTAGATGCTTTTAAAACTCCTTTGTTTTCCAGGTCGCTGAAGGTCAAGAAATTTGTGTGATTGAAGCCATGAAAATGCAGAATAGTATGACAGCTGGGAAAACTGGCACGGTAAGTCCCCAAGTCCCCATCAGCCCAGGCCGGCCTGTGATGGAGGAACATCCACCTTTGAATCATGGATGATTTGGCTGCAAAGGGACTGCAGAGGCAGGCGCCCTCTTCCCCTTCTCCCTTTTACAGAGGAGGCCACTAGGATTGGGAGCTTTCCCATCCTGCCCTGATGCGTCCCTGCCTCATCCAGAGCATGCCTTCCAAAAAAGTCTGTGTATTATGTTCAGGTAGTCAAAGAACAATTGTTCTTCACCTTAATGTCTTTCAAATTAAGGGCTCTTTAATTTTTAATGTTTACATCTGTCTTGGAGTCAGTTAGTTATCTGAGACTTAGGTCAAACAGCAGGAAATGGTTTTACAGATTGCAAAAATTAATGTAACTCTTCAAGACAATTTCTCTGCAAAGAGAACAATTCAGTTGCAGATCAAGATAAGCTGAAACCCCATGTGCATGTGGGACTTAATTATTTAGTGAGAAAAAAAGGAGAGTATCTATTAGTACTGAAATTCATTTATAGTGAAACTTAAGTGTATTTTTTCCTTGAAGAAAATACAAAAGTCTTTTTAAGCAATAACTTCATTATTCTACCTGTGACTAAAAGGATCCCATTAGTAGCTAAAGATCTTTTCCGAGGGCCATTTGGGTTGGGAAGTGTCTGCAGGGTGGGGCATGACTGGAAGCGCGGGGCTGGCCATGTTCTGCATGTGGCCATGTCTTGGGACCACTGGGTACAAAGAGATCCATCAGTTCAAAACCAGGTTTGCATCAGAGAGACGCGGCCTCAGTATCGTGCTCTGTCACTGCAGAAGGCAATGAAGCTGATTCTCAGAGAAGGGGCAGGGAGAACAGAGGCCCAGGTGTATGCCAGCACTCGGGAGCCAGCAGCAGGTCTGGTGGGGTGCAGACAGCTGCGGCGTCTTGGTGGGATGTGGAGAGTAAAATGGCATGATTTGCAGTGTTTTAAGGAATTCTTTCTAAATTACTTTTTAAAAAAGTGAACAAGAAAACATTGGTTTCTGTTGATGTAAAGATGCTTTTATTGGTTCTTTGGGATTTAACGTTTGTGCTTGCTAGTGTCATGACACCCATCCCTGATGAGAACTTGGCCTAGTTGTGGGGACTGAGAAGGTGTGTCTGCTGCACGCCAAGGGCCCTGTGCTGTGGGACTGAGGTGCTAATGCAGAGATGAACTTGGCCTTAGTTCCCTGAAGGGTCGTGGTGCCACGCATCAGTGGGTTTCCCGTCCTCATGGCCTGGGTCTCCCTCCCCCCTCATGGCTAGAGCCATGCTGTGCATTCCGCTCGCCTCTCCCCATGCCCAGGCCTCTCCATTCCAACCTAGCCAGGAACCACAGAAGTGGCCCGAAGCCCCCATGCAGAGTAGCAGGGCCTGGTTCCTACCTGCGAGGCCACTTTTCCTCCCAGAGAAAAAGTTCACAAAGGAAACAGATCCTCAGCTGTGGCAATCGTAGCGTCACTAAAACGACGTCATGTAGGAGGGCTGCTAAATGGAGACAGGAGCATCGTGGAAAGCAGCCTCTTCAGTCCAAGCAGCAAGGTCTGCAGTGGCTGATTAGTTCCAACCCGTTGTTAATTTTCAGGCCCGAGCCAGAGCCTCCACCAAGTCAGATGACTGTCTCTTCCCCACCTCAGCCCCCTCCTTGCTAATTGAGCCTGAACACAAATTTGGGAAAGCAAAACTTGATAAAGATTAACCAAAATTGGTAGGACAAGGAGGCACAGTCCACACACCCATGATGCTGGAAAGGACGACCGCACAGCCCCACCACTGCCGAGGACTCTGTTTTCCTTCAAAAGGAAGGTGGCGCTCACGCTAGGGAAGTCCTCTTCCTACTCAGCAGCTGATCTGACTATCGAATGTTTTATTCTTTTTCTTTTACACTAAATATTCCGTTAATTCTCAGAGAACATTTCCACAACCTAAAACCACAGGAAGAGGGGGCGGCCAGGGGTTAGAAGTCACCTGGCAGTGAAAAGCCCGCCTCAACCTGAGTGCACCCAGTGTGAGGGGCCAGAGCGCAGCCCTCAGGCTGGCCACTGTGAAGGTGCTGAGGACAGAGGAGGCGAGAAAGGGGAGGGTGCGGCAGAGCCACCAGGGCACCTCGCCGTTCACCAGGGTCCCTCCGACCGGCTCCGGTGGGGTGGCTCGTGCCTGGGCTGCTGGGCCTGCAGGACTGTGCATTTCTAAAAGTGGATTAGGAGCCTACTGCCTCCTGGATCTGGTTACTAATTCTTACTCTCCCCTCCCCCTGCATTTTTAAAAATTCAAGGTGAAATCTGTACACTGTCGAGCTGGAGACACAGTTGGAGAAGGGGATCTGCTCGTGGAACTGGAATGAATGATTTATAACCTTTCAGTCATCACCCAAATTAATTCGCCATTTGCGTGATGCTTTCACACAATTGATTCAGGCATTTTACAGAACACTCCCATGCAGCTACGTTTTACATCATCATATTACACAGAATCAATACCAATATTCTGCCAAAAAAAATCACCAATGGAAATTTTCATTGATGTAAATGCTGTACGTATGATTTGTACTTCTCCTGTGAGATTTCCTAGTGTCAAACTGAAAACAATAAAACAGCGTTTGTCTAACTATTAGTTTGCCCCTTTTTTTGAATGAAGACAATGTATACTTAGGCAACAGGCTCTGCCAGTGGACCACCAGCATTTCTTTGTGATCCTTTTGGAAGTTTGCTATAAATGTCATTTCTCTGCCTGGCTTTATTAGCACTTGACTTTTTTTTCATCTCATTGCCTGCCTTCTTCTGGAAGTGAGGCCCTCACTCCTGGTGCTGATTTTCATAACTTCTTAAGGACTGGGGAGTGCAGATGCAGATTTAGGCAATCCCCTTCCTGCTGTGGCTCTCTATGTGGGTGTGGTGCTGATGGCTGACCCCTATGGAGGTCACCTTGAGGCTTCCTGGCAGCCTAGGGTGCTCCGTCTGCACTATTTTGAGGGTGAGCATGCTGTCTGGTCCCTTTCCCATTGCACAAGCGGGGCAGTCACAGGGTGCTTGGGGGGCCTCACCCACCCCATCAAGGATGGGGCTGCCAGAAGCTGATCAGCTGAGACCCATCCCAGCCTTTCTGTGTTTTTTTGTGAAGCAAGTTTCCAATTAAGCAAAAGAAGCTAAAAATAATGATCATGCTTTTGTACCAGATGCAGTTAGCGATCACAGTCTGCCATTAAGTTGAAGAGTAAGTGAGCTCTCCCAACAGAGAACGAGGTTACTGAGGATCACAGCAGCTGCATTTTCATTTGGTTCTGAAATTCTTGGACTACGTTTCAGACTTTGCTGGGAAGCAGAAGCAAAAAGCCGTGCACCAAGTTGAGTCGATGCTGACAATTATCAGATGGAGGTGGGTAGTAATTGGTACTTCGTGCTTTGTTAAAATTATTTTAAGTGCTATTTGTATTTGGAAGCTAAGCTTCTGTCAGGCCTGAAGAGCAAATTACTAATGCGTTGGCTCTTCTCTGAAAGGACCACCCCCAAATGCTCTCCCTTCAGGGGGCAGGGATGGGGCCTGACTGCTGAGATCTGGGCTCAGATAAACTTCCACTTGAGCCCGGGTGCTCAGCTGTGTCTCCCAGCAAGTGGGTGTTCATTATTTTTTTGGACCAGAATGTAAAGAACCTTCTACTAAATAAGTATACTAAAAAAAGTGGGGGTCAGACCCAGCACCAACACTTTTATATTTGATTTCCCAAAACACTGACTTCAATTTTAAATAACCTTTAATATTGCTGTGAAGCTTGATATAAAAAATATGAAGAATGGTGCTGTACACATTCTGATACATGGCATGCTTTCCCTGTGGACTTCTTTATAAATTTTACCCAGCCGTCTAAAATCAGCTCTCTCAGGGGCTACAGGCCACAATCAGTCTAGTAGCGCTGCTGAAATCTAGCTGCAACACGAAGTCTTTTACAGTGATCCTAAATGTTATCTTGAGCTCAAAGCAGAGCACACAAAAGCAACAGAACAAGGAGGAAGAGGAGAGTAAGAAGAATTGGGCATGATCACACAAATTCTCTAAATGCCATTTAGGGGAATTAAAATCCTACATTTTTCTTATCAGGTAGAAAGATGGGAGGGAACCAGCTTGCTACTTACATGTCAACATTATTTGTAAAATCAGATGCCACTGAAATATTGGCTCCTTTTCCCGTGGATTCCTTGGAAAGGGCTCTGTTCTGCTTCCGCCTTCACCCAGCATGGGCTGGGCTGGGAGCATCTTGGAGCCCCAGGAGGCTCAGGCCTAGGCCCACCCTGCCCGCCCCGCTCATCTGTTCTCCCGGGGGTTGTAGCGCAGCCCGTGTGGCCCCTCAGAGTCGTAGCTGTCGTGGTGCGGGAGCTGGGCCCACTCCGGCGGGAAGGTAGCCGTGCTGTACACGAAGCACTGCGCCTCGGCGGGCGCCGGCGGCTCCTCCGCGCCTGGGGCCCGGTCCTCCAGCAGCTGCACCCGCAGCACCGTGCGCTGGTACAGGGTAGGGCAGCTCTCGAAGTCGTCCAGGAAGTGCAGCATCCGCTCGTCCACCGCGTAGACCTCGCCCTCCACGCGTCGCCCCGAGCCGGGCAGGTGCAGCAGCCAGGGGATGTTGTGCTCCCCCGCTATCACCAGCGGGTAGGGCTCCAGCGTGCAGCCGCGCGCCCGGAAGGCTGCGGAGCCGTGGGCGCCATCCCGCAGGACCCGGTGGTTGGGTTGGCCCCGCTTCAGGGTGCCATACACGAAGAGGAGGGCCATCGGGCAGAGCTGCGGGGAGAGGAGGCGACTGGTGAGCCCGCAGCGGGAGCTCTGCATCTGCACCCGCGGTCGGCGCGGGGAGCGCGGCCCAGAGCGTCGGGACTGGGGCCGCTCCCCTATGGGGGTCACAGCTCGCGCCACGGGAATGCGCCGGGCTGTGCTCCCATCAGGCGTTACTTGCCCACGCAGATGAGAATGGCCAACGGTTTTCACACATCATGAGACGTTTCGATTTTCGGCCACCATTTAATCCAGTGAAAACCGTTCCTAGCCTGTGGGCTGTTCACAAACGAGCACCAGGTCGGCTCTGACCTGTAGGCGCGGTGTTTACCAATCCCTCTGCTAGAGAAAGGGGCACACATTTGTGACTTCCCTGACGTGTCTGTAGCAGACAGGACACCTGCGTTCTACAGGAGGAGGACCCAGCCTCCCCACAGCACCTGGATGGACGATGCTCCTCAGCCATGTGGGGGCAGCCCGGCCTCGCCCGCAGACCACCTCCTCTCAGAAACAGCCTGACCTGCAGACTGCGCAGCCTCCCGACTCCCTGACGACACCAGCCTCCACCCCCTGCACCCCAGGGTCGCAGCTCAAGGCCAGAAGATGTCCTGTCCAGACCCTAGCAGGGACCTCCAGACACGCCCTGTCCAGGTCCGCAGGTACCCCCACTCCCAAGCCCAGCACAGCCCTCTCACTGTTCTCAGCCCCTGCGTGGTGGGGTGGAGGGTCCAGCAAGGCCGCTGCCCTCTAGAGCTGCTGATCTGGGAAAAGGCACTCAGTGTACTAGGACAGTTTGTCAAACCTGTCCCAGCAGCCTGCCCTGCTACCTGAGCCCCACAGAACTGCCATTTTCCTGAGCAGTTTTCAGTGTTTTTTAAAGGACTTTGAAAACTGCGTAACTATTATAGAAAAATTAGAAATAAGCAAAAAAATGGACATATAATTTTGTAACCACCTGTTATCTGGCTACAGTGAGAACACAGGTTTCAGTGCTAAGTTCCCGGGAACTCGGGTCCTTGCCGTCTGTCCCAGTGGAGCTCTGGCAGCCAGGCCTTCTGCTGTTTCCTCTCTCAAGGCCTTAGAGGGCAATGGTGCTTCATGGTGACTCCCTGTGGTGACCTTGGCTCAAGCGTGAAGGTAAATATTTACCACTTGCCTGGGTCTGGGCTACAGACTGTTACATAATGACCGAAGTGATTTGCTGATTTGTGTGAAAGTGACTCAAACAAAAATGGAAGTGAACATTGAGGGGGTGGGAGCTCCTCGCTCCACTGCCCTGTGTGCCCCTGCCATGAGGTGACGGCCTGTGTGGCGATTCCTTCAGATGGGCTTTGCAGACAGGACTGCAGGGGCAGGCAAACAAGAAGGCGGCTGTCCAGGTACCAGCAGCGGCTTGTGACCAGCTAGAAATGCCCCCGGACACTGGTGCTTGCCACCAATCCTGTGGACAAATGGCCCTTGGAGAAGTCACACTGAACTCGGGATTTCTGTTTTCTTCTCAGCAAACAAGAGCTGCTCTGGAGGTCTAGGGCTCATTTTGCTCTTCAGGTGTGCCCCTGCTGCCTCTCGGTTCTGTCACCAGCCTGTGTGACATCAGTGTTCCCCAGATTTCAGGCACATTTTACTAGGAAAGGTGTGGCCTTGGGAAAAACACATGGCTGGCCAGACGTGCACCCCACAGGCCTGGCCCTGCGATAGCCCTGGGACACCCCAGCCAGCGTGGGGACACAGTTTAGACCTGGGGGCATGCCGGAATAGGAAAGTCCAGATGTGAATGAAGGAGAACCTGGGGTAGGGCGGTGCTGAGGGAAGAGGAAGAGGCAAGTGCTCAGGCCTAAAGTTGCCAGGAGTCAGCTGCTGGGGAAATGGAGGATGGGTATACAGGAAAGTGACACAAGTTCCCAGCTGAGAGCAGCGCTGGAGTCTGGAGCGAGCACTGGATGGAAGGGGCTGCCTACAGCAGTGGGCGAGGAGCCAGCCCGAAAGACGAGCACCTGTCGGGTAATGACGGTCAGGATCCTGCAGCGCAGCCGCCCTGGGGACTCAGCATTTGGAAGAAGGACTCACGTCCCTCCCACACCTGCATCCCAGCCCCAAGACCCATCCACGCTTCCTCTGCCACATCTGCCCCCTGCTCTCCTCCCCCACCGCCTGCCTGTGCCCCTGGCTTCTTTGTTTCCCTGGAGCCTGTCCCTAGTGCAGCACCCAGAGGGTCCCCGTCAGTCTCTTGCAGCACACTCACTTCTCCCACCTCATCTCCTGCACCCTCCTCCACCTCGCGCAGGTGGCTCCTGCCCCCACAGCGCCTGACCTGGGGCTGGGCCCACTCAGTCTGTCATATCACCCTGTCTGGTTGTCTCTATAGCACGTGCTCTCTAAATCACTGGTCTTGTCTGTTGCTGGAACATGAAGAGCCAGAAGACAACTTTGAAACAGCCCAGTCCGGCGCCTGCAGGTGAGGAAGCTCAGTCCCAGGCTGGTGGCGACCTAGGACCAGCCAGCCAGGCAGGGCTGTAGTCACACTGCAGACCAGCTCTCCACAGCCGGGTGCCTGCCTGGCTTTCCCTGACGCAGTGTTTTAAAATGGCATGTGTCCATAATGGAAATAGATCACTTTACAAGAAAAATGTAATTTCCTACCCCTTTCCACTCCCTGGAGGCAGCACTTTTAAGGCTTTTAACTGTTGTGTTTGGCATTTATCTCTGTGTTGTTACTTACACTGCTACTTCTTGATGTCTTAAATCATGTCTTGCCTTTTTACCCATAAAGTGGGTGAGCACAGTGGTTCTAAAGCAGACTTGAACTGTGTGACTTTAGGCAAATCACATAATGTCTCTGTGCCTCAGCTTCCTCAACTGTAAAATGAAGTCACAGTTAGCAGCCTGCCTCAGAGACTGCGGTGGGTTACCGGCACACATCCTGTGTAGTCTGTTCACATGTGGCATGTGCCACTGCTGTCATCACTGTAGAAGCCTGACACCTGGCTCTCCTACCATGTCTCGCCATCCTCCCAACAGACCCATCATAGTGCTGGGTCAGCCCCAGATCGATTTCGGAATTAGAAGCAGGTAAACATGCTCTCAGATGAGACACAGGGCCTACTGTGATTACATCTCCTTTCTTGGCGCACTTTTTTTCTTGAAATTAAAAATTGTTTCAAGTTTGGTTTTCTGTTTTGCCTTTTGCTTAGGTTTCTAGGACCGTAATTCAGCCTCACGTTATTCTGAGAGCACAGTCAGAACCCGGCCCCGACCATCCGTCGGAAGGTCCTCCCTGCCCAGCTCTAGTCTGGGCTGTCCGTGTCGCTGCCATCCAGGCCACCCTCATTCCTGTCCCATCCTCCGGCTGGGCTGACGGCCACATTTTGCTGAAGTATATTCTCTCCTACTTTTGGTTAATCATGTGGTTAGGCAGATGATTCTAGACATCATGTCCCTCAGAAATCTACAAGTCTAGAGACATTTCTTCATTGTCTTCTCACTTCCTGAGTACTTGCGAGAAGTCAGTGCTCTATGATCCGGGTGCCCTGGGTGTGAGTCCAACTTTTCTCTGAAGGCTCTTAGGGGTTTCCTTTTATCCCTCAGATTCTAGAATTTTCCAAGGATGTAGACTCTGGTGTTTTTCATTGACTGTGCTGGGAATTTCAATCTGAATGCTCCTTATCCTGGATCACAGGAGCATTTTCTCCCCTCCTTCCTCTTTGTTCTCTTTCTGACACTCCCGATATTCTGGCGGTGGATGTCTTGGCTTCAACTACAGTGTTCTTAACTTTTCTTCTTTCCTCCAGGTCTTCATATTCTGCTTTATCCTCCATTTCTTCTATTAAAAACTTATTTGCCATCATATGTATTTCCAATATCTTTTTTTTTTTTTTTTGAGGTGGTGTCTCGCTTGTCGCCCAGGTTGGAGTGCAGTGGCACAATCTTGGCTCACTGCAACCTCCGCCTCCTGGGTTCAAGCGATTCTCCTGCCTCAGCCTCCTGAGTAGCTGAGATTACATGCACCTGCCACCACGCCCAGCTAATTTTTTATTTTTAGTAGAGACCAGGTTACACCATGTTCGTCAGGCTGGTCTCGAACTCCTGACCTCATGATCTACCCGCCTCCACCTCCCACAGTGCTGGGATTACAGGTGGGAGCCACCACACCTGGCCTCTGATATCTTTTTTTTTTTTTAAGCTGCTTTTTGTTCATTCACAGGCTCAGTACTATCTTTAAAAAAATTTTTTTTAAGTTTTCTTCCTTCCCTTCATTGCCTCCATTTCTCTTAACTCCTCCTTTTTTCTGTATTTCAAGAGGTTTTCTTCACACATGATCTTGACTGGAAAAGCTGAGCCATTCTTTGGAAGTGAGGCTGAGCTCTGTGAGCCTAGCAGGTAGCAGGCCTTGCATGGGGCTCTGGGACAGGCGCTGGGAGCCCGGCAGACTTTCCCTCAGTGCTCGTTTTCAGGGTGCTACCTCACCACCACTCGGCTAGGCGTGTGTCCCCAGCACCAAGGCATTTTTGCTCTCCAGAAAGGAACCGGCTGTCCTCTGTCAGGTTTGAGGGGAGGCGGCAGGTCTCTCAGCCCTTCTGTGTCTGGGACTGTCCTTGCCTCTGTGGCCGCGGTTCTGGACTCCTCTGGTGTTGCAGGCTTTGCTCAGCTGACTGCTCATTGGCCTCTCGCCGTGCAGGAGCTTAGGTTTTGGGTGTCTCCAGGCTAAGTCAGCTGTCACTCACTTCTGTGTTCCATCTTCCAGAAACATGTTGCCTGCTTTCCTCCGCTGTCCTTGTGGGTTGTTTGAGTAGCATTTAGGAGGAAGCTGGACACAGGGCTTGTCCTTCCCATCTTCTCTCCTGCTGCACCACCGGCCCTAGCCCCCTCCTCTTTGAGGGGCTTATGTGAGCCAGAAAGGACATGACAAGACAAACTGCTTGCTTAGAAGAATGGCGAGAGGGTTTTCTTCAGGTGTAGGTGACTCAAGGGTATGTCAAGTCCCCTGAAGAAGCCAGTAAGTAGCAATTGCG